TGAACAGGTCTCTCAGATCCCTACTGTAGGCAAAATCTGCTTCTGAGCCAGGAAAAATGGGTCCATCAACACAGTGTAGTTAAACTGAGTTCTTATATAGTTTATTCTCAAGCAGGACTTCATTTTTTGAGGTTATGATGATGATTAAGCTTGGCTTCTAAGCTGATGGACAGGTTTGGGATGTGGCTTTTTGGTTGGGTTTTTTTAAAATAAATTTTTTTGCTGGGGAGAATCTTCAAAGCCACTTTCAGAAACTTCCCAGAAGAGTTACTGAGACTACCTTGCCAGTGAAGTTAGAAGCAATTAATGGTCTCAAGGCCTTCCTCACGCTGTTCACCTTAGTATTTAGCAATCCTGCAGCGTATTCTTTATAAACGGTATCCAGTACTAAGATTCTGATAACGTGGTCAAAGTTGCAGCATTCAGAATGAGCCGTGCTTTTCCAGAAGCCAAGTACTATGTGCATAAGGAAATCACGCATGCTTTCCTCTTTTGTTAACAGGTGCCAAACAAAAGGAGAATGAAAGTGAATGACTGCTGTGAATGTATACACGTTTTGTAGGAGAACTTGAACAAAGTTTCTGGGTCAAGTTTGTCTCAAGAACAGTGACTGCAATAGAACAGAGCAGGATTGTTGAGAATGTGTATTGGGACTTAGTGATGGATGATGAGTCTATTCCCCCCAGTGATGTCACAAAAAAAGCAGCATGACAAAAGCTTATGTTAAAATGTAGGCTTGTATTTCAAAATGTCTTCAAAACATTTGCTGGAAGACTTCACATGATGTCCTTCATTAAAATGCACTGTATTCTGAAACTTTTTCATTTTGTATTTGACAGAAGTCACTGGTCAGCAATGGATATATGTGACATAAGGCAAGTGTATGGCATATTCATATCATAGTGCCTTATGTCAAAATACAGCAATATGTCATCACTGTTGCCCATCACTGTCAAAGGAAGTATTGTGCTAAACGAGACACTGTATTTGAATGTGAAAGTCTTTAAACCTAAAACCAAATCAGTTTCAGTTCTCATTAGATTTGTCATAAAAGCTGTAATTTGAATATCGGTAGACTTCTTTAAAACTTCAATGACAGTTTTGTGTTAAATGTTGCATTCTGAACTGAGATGTAAACCAAGACTGATTTTAAAAACAGCTTTATTTATTTTTACTTTCATGACAATTTTTTACACATCTTTGGTGGATAGCTAAAATTTCACCATATCCATTAATAAACTGTTGATTGTTATACAAACAAGTGGTAGATTTTCTCATTATTTGAAACTTTGGAGTTGCAGAAGCTGTGGCCTGTTGACCAGTCCATATTACTTGAGCTGAAGATTTCAGAAGCATGGATTGAAAGTGCTCTGTACTGTAATACACAGGCACCATGGAAGAAATGAGGTGCCAGAGAACAGTATTTTCATCTGTATTAAAGTGTAAAACGATGTTTGTACAACAAAGCCGAAACTTTTTATTGTATATGATTTGTACAGAAGTGGAGGAGCGAGGGAAGCTGTGGGGTCTTTACTAATGTTAAATGTACTGTAAAGTTTGAAGATGAGACTTTTATAATTGTAGATTCTTGTAGATGGAAGAAATTAAACCCTACAACATCAGTTTGTTTTTAGCGGTTCTTGCCAAGTTCTTTTGCATGTATAAATGTACGTGCATTTTGATTAGAGTAATCTAGGTATAGAAGCATTCTTATTTTCCTTCAACTTTAAAGGTGGCTTATGCTAATGGAATAATGCAGGCAATACTTTTTACTGTGTTTCCAGCCTGAATACTGTACTGGAATAATGGCAGTAAATTGATCTGTTATTTTTCCATTTATAAACATTGAAGTAAAAGGTTAACAGTTTTCAGTTTGCTTATAAAACGTAAGGTTTTTAATAGCAATGAAAACCCTTTCTTCAGAACTTTTCCACTTTCTGTAAGAATTTAAATTTTGAACTATATGTGTGAAAATTTTCTTCTTACTGACATCTTTCATGTGTAAAAATATTCCTGTAGTACATAATGGAAACTGTTCTCTTGGACTTTATCTTACTTTCTTACTCTGTGAAAAGCATTGTCAAGTCTTCTCCAGCACCTTTTCTGACTAGGTAAATATTGACTCTGTTCCCTGCAATTCCGGATGGTTTTGAATTGAAATACCTGTTTTGGCCTAACAAGTGATCTTGGGGTCTGGTGCTGATTGCTGCCATCAGAGATAACATCAGCACAGTTCTGATTATCTTTGTTGGGGAGATGTAGTGATAGAAACTAAAAACAGTGGCTCTCGTTCTTTGTGGGGAGTGTGGAGGGGATAATTTGTGGTAGATGAGGACTTTATATTAAGGCTAAGTGGTCAGCAGTACCACCTGCAAATGCTACCCAAGCTGCATAGATGCAACTTGGTGAAAGCCCAGATATTGCTCCAGCACCTGCGCTGTAGCCCCCTCCTCTGGGAGGGGAGATGCCAGGGAGTTGCCTAAATGCATCGCTAGATCTCTCTCTACCTATGAATAGTCTGCATGAGCATGTTCTTCAGCCCTGTATTCAGGGTATTTTTTGAAGATAAGGGTTGAACCACCAATAGGTACTTTTTTATATACTTTATTTTTTAGCACAAAGTCTTTTGGCCCTGTTCCATGCAGACAGCTTTGGGCCTGTCTGCATAAATTAGTATGCAGAAAGCCAGAATGAATTTGCAGTTTTCGAACAACCATGTACAGACTTCCTATTTTAACATTATTACAAGTGCTGTTCACGTGTTGTGGACACAGGACTAGCAAAATTATGGAAAGCAGCCTGCTCAGTGATACAAAACTGTATTTAGAGCATTTCCACCCTTACTTTCTGGAATTCAGTTCCAAATTTTGAATTTGTGAGTAGAATCACAGTGTAACTCCACAAGCATGAATAAACAGCAGTGCTATCTAAAAGGCACTCTGTTTGTACTGGTACAAGTATCAGTGCTGATGCAGTAAACAAGACTAAAGAAATTTCATTTTTAATACAGATCAGTTTACTACAGAGCTAGAAAAAAATGCTTGTTCCAGCAAAAGAGAGGGAGAGGAATAAGTAAATGAGGGTAGAGAAAGGAGGGGTGACTCAGCAGCAGTGCTGCATGTACCAGATAAAAGTGACAGTGCAACTAAAGCTTTGATCTAGGACTCTTCAAGTGGCTGGGGAGAGGCCTCAACCACAGAAAAGAATGAATAAAATGTCATTAAACTCAAGTTCTTGCACATTTATGATTCTGTGATTTTTTGTGCCTCTGGACAGGCAGCAAGCAGTACTTATAGATCTGAGACCACAGCAATGGCTCCAGGTGCTCCCTTTCTTTCCACAGACAGGGCCGTGCTGCAAATGGAGATGGCAGTAAGCTTCCCCAGTGACTCTGCTAAAAGCCTGTTCAATAGCGTAGATGATCTTCCGTCCTGAGGATGTGAAATGCTGTACAAATGGATTCTATTTTAACCGGCAGGACTGTAAAACACGTGACTGATTTCTGTGCTTCCTTGTGCATTTCCTTGCCCAGCAAGAGATGCCTGTGAAAGATAATTGTTCCAAAGTGCTTCTTGGTCTTGGAAGGGAGCAGATTAGGTTTGTTTTTTACCTACTCTGGTATTTTTAGCTGTTTAGGTGTAAGAAAATGTTTCTTACTAGACTTCAGCCCTCAATATTTTGCAGTATCTAGAGATGCTGTGAACTGACTTAGGAAAATTATCCGCTGCTGACATTGATCACTTGACTGATGAAAACATTTTCCTGTTTTACTTCTGGAATCCTTTAGGTTAAAAAGTCTGAGATCTTTAAGCGCCCACAGACAGTATTTGCTGTTTACTAGGAACTGAACTGCAATTGTTGCGTATCCGAGGGCTATTCATCTTCTTTGACTAAGGAGTATTATTCTGCTGGGAATGTTTGGTAACACAGAAAGAACCAGCCTCCCTTTCCGAGGCCTGAGCTCTTGTCCTCACAGCAGACAAGGAATCTGACTGAAGTGGTTCCAAGACTACGCATTGCTTTGAGAACACTCCTTGCCATCTTTGGAGAAAGCATAAGGTAAGTTGGAGTCTTTCAGTTTTGGTCCAACTAGAAATCAAGCCACACGTGCTTAATCCTGTCACACAGCAGGCTGTTTAACTGTTCGTACTGAGCTCTCCAGTCAGTTTTAGAAGTAACCAGTTTACTTCAAAAGTTTCTACGAACTTTCACCCCTTATGCTCCCATATTGAACACTTATTAGGGGTAATTTCCAGAGGAAAACGTAATCCTGAATAATTTAATACTACCCTTGTACCCACATAATGCATTTATGCAAAAAGAATGTTCTGCAGACACTGCTCTTTACCCTTAACTTCAGGTCTTAATTTAAATGCGGTTTTGAAAGTCGTTTTCTTAGTCCCCATTTGCTTTATGATGATTGCAGCCAGACCTGTTCCCGCTGAAGTGAATGGGAACAGGAGGTGACCTGCACTCATACATCCAACTCATTCCTTTAGTAAAAAAGTATCTATAGAGCGCGTCCCTGCCAGCTGCATACCAGGACCTGTATGGCATTAGCCTGTGATGTCAATAGCCCCTGTGAACTGAACTGGTTCCTTAATTTGCTTCTACTAACATTTTGCCAGTGATTCTATCTGAATATTAGAAAATACGATCGTTGTGAAAATGCAGGAGGGAGTAGGAACAAGTGTAGGATTGAACTGAATGTACTTTGTAACCTCTGTGGGCAGCAAGGTCTGTGCTGTACATGTGGAAGGGTGCCCAATGCAAACACTGGACTCCCTGCAAAAAACTCCTCGGGAAGGTCCTGATTTGCCAAAGGACAGAGCAGGTAATTATATTGGTAATTGCAGTTGCAGGAATTGAATGTACACGTCAGAGTTGTTCTGCATTTGGAATCTGAGTAGCAGTGTGTTCGTGGGTTTGTATGTACTGTATTATCATAAAAATATTTGACTGTTGAGTTACTTTTACTACATGAAATTCATTGTGGTTTCTCCTCCATCATAGAAAAGCAGATGTAGACAACAAAAGAAAGACGTGTTCCTTTTTTGCATCTGTTCCTGATCTCACTGCATACACATACTCCATTGGTGCTTGCAGTTCTCTCTTTTGGTATTTTCTCCATCAGAACCTAGGCCATACCTGAAGTACTGCATTCATTGACCATGTCTGTTGTTAACTCATTTACAATAAAATTAATGTAATTTATCATCTGAACTGACACGAAGGCTACATTTGATTTGAAGAAGTATCTGGTGAAATGAAACTGTCGTGGTTTAACCTGGCCAGCAGCCAAATACCACGCAGCCGCTCACTCACTCCCCCCGCCCCAGTGGGACGGGGAGAGATTCGGAAGGGTAAGAGTGAGAAAAACTCGTGAGTTGAGATAAAGACAGTTTAATAAAACAGAAAAATAATGATAATGATAAAATACACAAAATAAGTGATGCACAATGCAATTGCTCACCACCCGCGCTGACCGATAACCAGGTAGCGATCGGTACTTCCTGGATCGTGCCTACCATTCATATACTGAGCATGATGTCACATGGTATGGAATACCCCATTAGCCAGCTGAGCTGGCTGTCCTGATTATGTTCCCTCCCATCTTGTGTACCTAGCTCAGTCAGTAGGCATGGGAGCTGTCCTTGGACTAGGAGGGTACTTAGCAACAACTGAAAACATCAGTGTGTTATCAACATTCTCCTCATACTAAATCCAAAACACAGCACTAGCAAGAAATTTAACCCTATCCCAGCCGAAACCAGGACAGAAACACAGCCAGTGCATAGATGCATGGTGTCACGTCACTTGTCCCAAAGTTCTCTAAACTCCTTTGTAGTTCACAGCACAACTTGCAGCACTGTAGAAATGAAGAAGCTGGAGTAGGACCAGGGGCTGCACAGGCAAAGCCCTAATCCCTAATGCTACCGCTGCTATGGGACGCTGCACTGTGAAATCACAACCTGAACATCACACTTAGATTGCTAGTGGGGGAGAGAATTTCGGCGAAGGGCCACTTGGTGAGCATGTGAAGCTGTTCAGCCCTAAACATGGAAGCGGTAAGAGTTCAAATAAAGCACAGTGCCCTGATTAGACATGTATGACATAGGCTTCACAGCCAAAGGTGTCCTCTCCCTCTGCGCCCGAGCACTCCAGGAAGCGTTCCAGATTAACCTGGACAGGAGAAATGCAATGACAGCTTTATCACCATCCAGATCCTCTCACCTCTGCTTAATCTGCTACCGCTTGAGTGGCAGTATCCCAGAGTGCCCTCAAAGGCCACTCAGCACTGTCACCAAGTCCTAGAGCGTGGAGAAATGACAAAGTTCCCCGAAAGCTCTGTATTTTGAGTGTCCCAGTCAAGACAGAACAGAATGCTTGTGTGATCCTGATGGAATAAGGATTATTAGCCAATTCCTTCTAAAGAACCAGTGGAAGAAAAGAAAGTCGTAGGTTTTTCTGCAAGTTTAAAAAACACCCGTGCCCAGGAAGGATGAGTTCTTCGTTCCTGCTAAAACGCAGGCTGAGCAAGCATGGAGCGTGTCCTAAGGTGGGACAACTCTATTGCAATTAGAAGTAGTAAATAAAGCAGCTGAAGGGGGGGGCAGAAACC